AAATATAACCAAATCATTTGGAACAGCATGAGGGGAAAAAAAACAAAAACAAGCATGACAAAAGGCTATGTTGTTAGGAGAAATCCTGCATCTCCCTGTTGGAGGTCATGATTTCCCTGAAAGCGAGGCAAAATTTAGATCTTTCTGGAAATCCTTCTATTACTTTTGTGGCTATCCAATGATTATCAACACTAGTCAGAATGATGAATGGTGAGGAATGATGGGAGTTATAATCCAACAACATCCAAAGGACCATGCATTCTCTATCCTTGAAGTAAGGCTAGAATTGGGTTATTAGCAATCAGAAAAGCTTTCAAGCTGTTTGGTTCCCAAGACCAACCTTTAATTCTTCTTCAGGGATTAAGATGCCTGGATTTTTGTATACATAGTGAGAGGGAATTACATATTTTTCCTTCCACATCCAGGACTTGGATTAAAACCTTCTTGTATCAGGGGGAAAGTCACTACTGATGCCAATTAGCAGTATGAGTAATTTTACTGGGAATTAAGGAAAAGGGGTATATGGTTAAACTCCTCCTCTTTGACTCCTATGATCCAAAATTGTTCACACTCCCTGGAGAGTAGGGGTGTACAGAACGTATCCAGCCTATCTTAGGTTTGTGTTTGTTCATTCCTCAGACTGACCCATCATGTTTTCTCATCTGCAATTTCACAAAATATGCATTTCTAAATATCTTCTGTCTCAGCAGAGCCATTTGTAAATGCTTCTTCTTCTAAACTATCAAGATGCATGTAAATGTGTGCATTTTTTCTTGAAGCATACAACTATGTAGCCAAACACAGAAGAGTGGGAGGGAAGAGAGAAACCTGGAGAAGAAATGCTTTCCGATCTTTTTATTGGGACTGGAACATACAGATTAGTTCAGTTTGCATCAAAGTGCAGACAGAATGAAATTCGCAAGCATGTCAACCTGTGGCTGCTGTTTACATCAGTAAAAAGAGGTGTGTGTGTGTGTGTGTGTGTTTGTGTCTGTGAGTGCACCAATGAAAACCACATCTAGTTTGTTTTTTTCCTCTGTTCAAGGTAGACTGCCTCATTCTCGGGGTTCTTTACAATAGCTTGTGATGGTATCCTTGAGTTTGCTTTGTTGTTCCAAGCATGTTGATTTTTTTCATTACTCATCCCTTCATTATTCTGCAGTCCCTGACTGCTGATCTATCTGATCTGAGAAGTCCCCATGGAAGAAGTTCCCTCATGGTATCTTCTTTTGGGACTGAATTGAAGGGTAGGAAGGCAGGGAGGCTGTAGAGGACTGCATGGTGAAGAACTGGACATTCACATGCATGCTCTTTAGCCACCTTCTAATAGAAGTAAATGCAAGAATACCATGCTTCACCCATGAGAATTGCACCAAAGTGTTCTTTCCTTGGGAAAAAAAATGCTAGTCATCAGGTTGAATGAGCACAGTTGACACTGGGGGGGGGGGGGGGGGCAAAACCATTTGGGTTTCAATGGTATTTTTAATATGGTTTTCAGTGATAACAATTCACACTTCTTTTTGGCTTTTGTTTTTTTT